TTTAAGCTACTATCATGGTCAGATATCTCCGCACACTACATTTGGTGATAATCGAATCAGATTTTCTTCAGAATGACATGACTGGTGATAAAAAGTGAATTATTCAACAGAACCACTCAAATTTATACCAAGTGCCACCACAAATCATGGACCTAGTCGGGCTTTCTCGCGTTTGCACCACTGCCATCATTCCTAGGCGTCGTTCTCGATTTTCAGTGCATGTTAGGATATTTCATTTTCTCGCAATCAAACCAAAAACTCTGATGAACACCCGGTTTACGGACTACTTGATTTTTCCTCAATGGTCCTGCCGCGATGGCTAGCGCACAGACGATCATGAATACCCTACTCCCGCCCTTCAAAAAGGCAATGCCGAAATCGATAAAATAGGCCGGAATAACTCAAAATTCACTTCATCATGTACTTTTTGAACGAAACCAATGTTTGATACATGCCTTCAAGACACATGCATGAAAGCCGCAGCTATAGAAGCTATCTTCACTGTCTAATCCGAACAAGACTCCCATTATGTGTGCAATTTCCACGTCGGCACCACTTCATACTGCAGTGTTCTAGACTTAGCAAATGGTCGGCAAACCTTTCATTTCAAGGCGGTTTTGGGAGTAGACTCCAAGCTCTCTCATCTTGAAACCTCGGCATGTTCGTTGTTATTGTGTAATTTGTGCTTCTGCCACGAGGTTTTTAGGTGGAATCTTTATTCGGCCAACGTTTCGACCTTCACGTCGTTTTCAAAGGCCACAGAATCCACCGCTTGAGTGTAGGGCTACACTCGGTTAGTACATTAGTAGCGGTTTTGGGAGTGCTCAAGCTAAGACACTTGGAGAATCGAAGCGGGCCCGAGAAACTCCCTTTAGCCTGATGAAAGTGTTAAGCATCGAAACATTGCAGTACATTTTGCAGAGCTTTTTGGACTAGGCGTTTTTTGAAAGGAACTTCTGAGTCTCAAACTTATGTTTGCACGTTAGAGGCCACGAGGCCCATAGACTGGTCAGCACAAGAAGTGGTACTGAGTCTCTCTTTTGCTCTTCTCACTACCTAGCTCAAGTCTCTCTCCCAATCAGGTGATAAGTTTTTCTTTTTAAACTGCTTACTAAGCTTCTTACCCCTTTACTAAAGCTCCACACGGACGCCAAGCCTTAAACGTGAGCCCGGTCTCATATGAGTTAACATTTAGACTGGGAGGCTTCATGACAGCACCGTATACTAAATTCCTACCCCTTAAATCAGGAAATCTGCGCCCTACACTTGTTTCGTTTACGAAATTCAGTCCATAAGTTAGTTGTGGATGCACCACAACTGATCGAATAACTGGCTAAAGGTGGAGCGTTCCATGGAATTATCGACCCATACTTTTTCAATCGATATCTCCACGTCATAACACGAACCAAACGATCAATTTCGCTTCCTAATTAGAAATCTAGGTCAGTGACCTATTAACCAAGGCTTCAAGGTTGCAACAACACCAACCGTACCTGCTTCTTTCCAAACAGCCGATTGAAAAGTGAGGAGATGGTTAACCCCATGATGAGTTGCAGTCACCTGTAGATGGAAAACGAATCAATTCCAATGAATTGGACAATGACGCCACGACAATGCGTACAAACACGAACGTGCGAAGCGTAGAAATCGAACGATCTACACGACAGTCAATAAATCAATGACGACCACATGAACAGCCGCTTATCAGCTGACAAAATGCTTATCTGACAGATGTATGGAGATGGCCGCATATCGAGGATGATGATGCATGGAATGCCTGGAAAGCGACGACTCAACACGTGTATGTTCGATCGCAATCGGTCGCGATAGGACCGACGGGTGGAAGTCACTAGGCGGTCCTTTAAAATCGTCTTCATCGTTCGCTTTGGTGCTATTGCGACGAACTTTTGCGAATTTTACATACAAATCATGAAGTAGTTTTTAAGAAAAAGTGCAGCGTTCAAGGCGAAAAGCCCGAAAATCCAACTAGATCTTTCAAAATATGGGGAAGCGACGTTACCTACTGACGACAGCCTAACACCGTCCGCCATTGAGAGTTAGATGAACAGTTGCGGTAAAAACAAAACAAGTTGCCAGGGACAGCATCGATCAGGCAGCAAGCACTGCGAGTATCGATTTGTAACGAGAAGTGCGGAGAAAACCGCTGGCTGTTGTCAAAATGCGCCCGAGATTTTCGCGACAGGTCACCATTTCCCTGGTTACCGTAATCTCCTTACTGGTGACGGTATCTCGAAACCCGCTGACTGCATTCGTACTCAACGTTTGAGAGACTGAGAGAGGTGGAGATCACTAAAAAAATGTATAGGTTGAGAGAGGATATACGAATATTCAAGGGGGGGGGGTCGATATTTGTACAGTTCGCGGCACCACAGTATCCCAATTTTGTGAAAGTCCTGGGTGTGAGGCCATTTTACTTCACATTTCCAACCCATTCTGGAGCTCTACTACATAACACTAGGATCCTGATTCGATAAACTATTCCACTAAATATACCTTTATCACAAGACCCTGGGGAGTGAAGATCTAGCAGAGCGTGGTTATTAATTGATTCATGTTACTTGGACTTGAGGACCTATTCCCCAACAAATACGCATCGAATCTTTCCCCTGAATTCCTGACCTCATAATCTCCTCAACCTCATTGAGAAAGCTGACATTAAGGCGGAGTGCACCGACGAAAGGTAGCGCCATTATATAAAATTGAGAGTAGTTGTCAGGATACGGGGATGAAGTGAAACAAGAAACGCCATGACCCGAAAATTGGAACCCTTTCCTTGTCCATTGTCTTTCCGTATTGATGCGGACTCGGCATCTGCGCTCTTCCAAACGCCAACCTCCCTCTCTTCTAGAGGCGAACTAGATGTTCAGACGCGAGAGGAAGGCAAATCAGTGAAACGCAGCGACGCGAGCCGCGTGATGGCCCACCTTTAGGTCCGCGGGCGCATGCCTCTGTCTGCGAACCTGCGTATCGTCCTGCACCCCTTGGGAGGTGGGGGGGCTTACTTCCATTTTCGACCTTCCGACGTTGTCGTGCAATTTTCTTTCGAAACAGTACCACGATGGCTGGTGGCGGAGTGATGCCGATAGCGTAACTGGTGGGAGGGAGTTGGGAGGTGCTCCCAACCGCACTCCAGAGCTGAGTGGCTGTCCCACCAATGGCGTCCAAGACGTCGTCAAAACCTCTCCAACCTTCGGTCATCGTGTACACTGCCTTTAAAACCATACACCACCCAACTAGGAGGGGCCGCGTGTAAAAATTTCGTGAACATTTTGACATGTCTCTCGTAGTTTTGAAGATCCTATTTTCCAGACCCTCGAAAATTGCAATGCCCAAGCAGACTTTTTACAACCCTATCTAGAGATGACCAGCTTCCAAGGAGCACAAACAGAATTCTCCCATTGAAATTTGCTCAACGGATGTTGACGAGCCTGCTGGGACAGCAGACGGTAGGGTGCTTCATCGGAAATGCATGGGACATGAGAGCGCATCCCCAGATGGCTTTCTCAGCTTGTCATCGCAACTTCTGGCCATGGATTACAATCGGAACTACCGAGGTAAGTGATTTGTCGCTCGATCATTGGACAGTAGTCTTCTTGTGACCCTCCATTCTGTGATTGCCATGTAATCAGAATTTTTGAGCAGTCTTCCCTTTGAAACAAGTTAAATCATTCTGCGATGTTTGAGAGGGAAATCCGTCGCGCTCACATTTATCGATTAATCGCATATTGTGCATGAGTGAGAGACGCAGAAAAAGTGACTCTGATTCTTTGGCAGTCAACGGATTCTTTAAGTGACTGCACCAAAGAAATTTGTCTAAGAAACACGCAGAAACCCTTTTAGAAAAAAGATTAAGATCAATATGGAAGAATTGCCATTGCAGATGGAGTCAATCGACGTGGGGTGCAGCCGTCACAGAATTCCACCTACCTGGCTTCGGACACGAATTTCCTTCGAGCCGCCGAAATAATGACGACGTACGCGTACGGGGAGACGTCGCACGATGACAAGGAAATCCAGGTGGGTGCCGCTGCTGGGCACAGGTGGCCAGGCGAAAGACCACTAATGATCGTAAAAGTCCTTGAAAATGTTAAATCGTCCATAATTTTGAGGATCCCTTTGAGCATTAATGTTGTTCGGAAACCGTTTGTTGACTATGAAGGTTGCTATTTCAATGATTGCTGATGCAAAAAGCGCCCGTCTGGCATTGCCGCGCGCGTATGCGTTGCGACATTAGGAACCAGTTTGTTGTTTTATTTGTTAATCTCCTGTCGAAAAAAAAAACGCTCCTATAAAGGCAGTCATATAGGAAGGAGAATAGGTGTGATTGGGACTGCCCTTCAGTACCAGCACGCAACCGCGCGCGGCTGTACTTCACGAACCGTCGGTCTTACCATTTGAATCCAGTCAGTGCTGGCTGACAAGCCCTTCTCCAGCTTGAAAATTTGAAATTCAAAGCTTGCTTCATTCCAGTGTGATCTGATCACCGAAGATGGCGGTCATGAAATCGATCCAATGCGACTGAGTTACAAGTAGGCTTCAATCAATATTGAATAGTAAACTATGTTCAAATTATTGTGTAACTAAACATTTACCTTGATCACCTCAAATTTCACCTTCCTTGTCGAAAACGCGTGTTTTTGGCGGCGCTTTCACTGTTGTGTTGAATCCATATTTGGATGCGCCGTGCTTCCGACAGCTGCCCGGGGTCGTTGGATTTTGGGTAAGCGTTGCGAATCACAGTATTTTCAAGCCTCCCACTGGTTTTTGTTGCCCATTCTACGGTCAGGCATTTCTTCCATTCAATCGTACCTGATGCAGTGGAATAGAAGTATGCTTACCGTCTATAACGGTAGCTAGATTACTGTCACGTGTACCCATACCACAAATTGTTGTAGTTGGGACAACTAAAACTTTTCACGACGGCAAAACCAATTAAAAAACAACCTGAGCCCAAAAAATAACCATACGATATGTACACTCAGGAGATGCATATGTGTGTGAGCAATCTGCTTCATCAGTTGTTTTCTCGATCGCGGACAAAGGTTCGACGGCACGGCCAAAAATACGGCTATCGACATAGGGCCTGCTCTCCTGTTAGAACGTAATTGTTTGAATATAGCAAAAATATCAATCGAACTTCTTTAAGAGAACGCATAGCTTGGCATTTGAAAGAGTTTTGCTATAAGACATCAAGTCACGGTATTCCAATGCTGGGACAAGCACCGAACATGGCCTACAGGTCTGTTTCACTTAATCGATTTTATTGATTGCCACGCATGATGAAGATACTGTAGTTTTTATAGAGTCTCCTGGATTATTTTGTTGTCTGGATGTGCTCTCGCTTTCGTGTACCAAGGCGATTGCCGTTGTCGATAAGTACTACCGAGAATGGATAAAATCACTGACATTCAGCTTAAATTCGATACAGGTAATGCCTTGTTACGGTGAAAAAGCTGATTAATGCTGGTATTAGGCGCGGCGAAAATCACAGACGTTGCCGCGCGCGGCTGCGTCGCGGTCCTATCATAGGCGTAGTAAAGCAGTTACTCTTTTTACTTTGATGCACTCATTTTATCCAGCTTGTTGAATTCGCTATAGGTTCACTAAACATGAAATGGACAACCTGAGACTGCAAATGATTGATGCACAGTGAATGACTGATGAGTACGTCGCACAGCGACAAGCGTCGACTCACAGATTATGACGCGACGCAACCGCACGCGGCCCGTTGCGTTTTTTCTCGCAAGCGCTTGTGAAGGCAAATAAATTCTGGACTGATCCAACGAATCATTTCAGCACCGTTTCCTGCGATTACTTTGTGCAATCTCAATCCATATAAGGACAGCACAATACGTGACGAGGAGAGCGTCAAAAAAATTGTGAGTAAAACTTTAGCTGAACATGGGTGACTTGAAATTCACCTCTCACGACTAATTAATAAAGAAAACCCGCTTTTCCTCGTCTTGAAGGCTTGGCTTAGTGGTTTGAAGTTCCCAAACGTACTGTTCCGATTTCAGCGTCCATTTTTTATGGGCCCCATAGAAACCAACCCTTCTAGAGGTGAGGCGTAAAAGGGGTGGTGGGAAGCGCATAAGAATGGAGGCTTTCGAAAAAGCAGGATCGTCTCCACTGCCTCCTTCGATCCACATTCGACTGAGATTGAACAATGGGCTTCGCTCATCGACCTCAAAGACAGTGAGCACTACTGCTGAAGGACCGGGTTACCATGACGTCACTGGATGTCACTGAGGAGCCATACCCCCCCCCATCCCCCATGACGCTCAGTGCTGCTCTTGGCCACCTCCCAATGCACCTGCACCGATGACGCTCTTAGATCAGAACCCTTTCCCCCCCCCCCCCCCCCCAACGTGTTGCGAGTCCTCAAACCCCACTCCGCATTTCGCGTGCTCTCTCGAAATCGCCATGGGAAGCCTAGACCGATTATCGGATAACGATCACCCTATGAGCTTCCCATCCGATTCGCAAAGTTCACACAAATCGGGGCAAAATCTGGGCTTCCTGATGGGTCCGCTTTAGGATACAGTGACGTAATTAATTCACTTTCAGCTGGAAGTGTTCGCGAAAATAATGAAAAAAGCAGGAACCAGTGGCGATTCGCTCCAAGAGCTGGAGGAGGTCGTCGAAACGGCCAGGACAGTTCTTCCTCTTGACGGTTCAAGGAAAAGAAGAGACAAGGAGAGCAAAGGATCTTTCGAACCGGTCAGTTCACTCCCGGTGGTATTGGGGGAGATTGCGCAAGGGCCGAATAGTTCAATCTAATATATGATTTGAAGGCAAATTCGGTAAAATGTGTAATGCGAAGACGACGAGTGGCGAAGGCGGGACGCTCCAAAGGCTATCCCATGCAATTTACTCATTTGAGGGTTTATCCGTCTGGGGGGCGGGGGTTGTGGGGAAGGAGAAAGCTGAACAACGTACAAAATTCCCTGTTCACAAAGAATGACGATTGACGACGAGCTCGCCCCCTTGTGCAGTATTTTGAGCCTAGATGATGTTATTCTGAGGCGAATCAGATATACATAAGCACGTACCATTTTGAAGACGTCTTGTTTCAAGCTCACAACAACTACACAGATGTTACCTTAGCCGTGCGTTGCGAAGCGTGTTGCTATGGCATCTGCTCATACCAAGCTCAATTGAACTATATTCGAGGCGAGGGTTTTTTTTTCTCATTCGGTGAAAGCAGGGCGGAGGCGGTGTGGGGGGGGGGAGCACGCTGCTTAGCACGTGCACGTTCTGGAGACCAAATTTCGGATCGAATTTCACGCTGGCAGACTATCCTACCCATTCTTCGCGGTCGGTAGACTTGTCTGTGAGCGTATATACAAACGACATGTGTATCGGCTAGGCTTTCTGTGTAGAACAAATCAACATGTCCAATGTGACTCCAATCTCAAATAAAAAGTTCGAAGGCGTGGCGCACCCCAAAAAGGGATTGACGCTGTATGCTTCACGCTCTGTGCATCTCAATAATGGAACCGCCTCAGCTCCTCGTGGTCACGACTATTGGATTAAATGTGGCAGATGCCCTGACCGAAGCTGCATACTGCATATATTTGTGACAGTTATCCTCTAATTCAGACGGAAAAAGGTTCCTAACGCATTTTTCAGGTACCCACTGAATCAGACGGCATGTGCATCTGCGCGTTCGACAGACTGACTCAAGATGCGTGGCCATGCCACCCTAAGGTACAACTGTTCCGTTCTGGTAGTTGTATGGGTCTGTGACGCGTGCGTTTGCGACGCGTCACGGCCTATGGATCAACAGTGTGTACAGATCATTGCCGACCTTGGTAAATTATTCTGTAATGCTACACAATCTGGCTATCCCAAGTCGTGGATGGAGAGAGCAGCCTTCATAATAGCCGTAGAAGCGTCCTCGCGCGACCGCCCGCAATCAATCCCATGACACACTATGAATGTACTGTTCTCAGGCATATTGGCAAGAACACCACGTGCCAATGTTCTGCGGGACGATCGACATGTTCTGTCAGAAGTACTCGAAGAACGGTGAACGACAGAATGAGCCGTGCTCTGCGGAAATGGCGAGGCATTCTGCATGAAGTATGATCGGGTAAGCCAGTGTCAGACTATAAACGGACCACGACGAATCGGCGTGTCATAATTGCAGATGGCAAAGCTGTTGAACCTGTGGGAATTCTTCGGTGAGCTATCGAAGGTCACGGATGTCACCGACGACGAGATCGAAGCGCTGGGGTTTGGGGTAAGTTTTCCAGGATCTTTACGGTTGAAAAACTGACTCAATGGCCTGACCCATGGCGAGTGGAACTGGAATTTTTTTGCAGAACATGACCGATGAAGTTGCCATTGTGACCAAAGCTAAGGAGAACATCATATTTGCAATGAGTGCGGTCAGCGAACAACAAAGGTACGTATCATTTAGCTAGCTGCATCGTCGTAGGTATGAGTCAGGACATGAGGATTGCGGCGGCGCGGCGTCGCGAGCAATGTCGCACGATTGGGCACGGCGACGCGTGCAACACTTCCTCGGTCAGTCAGGAGAAGGCGCTAACCTCTGTCTTTCGAAACCCTAATTGTCGCCCATAGGAATTCATTCGGGGTCCCCCATCGGGATGTGCTACTGAGGTCTGGGGCGCTCATGTCCTTAGGGGACATTCATAACAGGGCCGATGGTAAGTGAGACTGAATGAGCTCAAGTTAATAACTTCGTATAGCATCATTGTTTCAGAGCTCACTACAAGGGAATGCTTTGGACTTCCCATGGAACTTTGAAAGATGACCTGGGTATATCGATAGAGTCTTGAACGCTGATTGCAAATAGGGACACTATAACTGCTACGTGAACTTTCTTTGAAAGTTATGAGCCTTCAAAGTTGGCAAGAAGCGGACGCCATTTCATCAGGACAGCTAAGCGCTGACGAGGCAGGGTGGCGGCGGCGCAGTGGTAGAGCTCTCGCTCTAAAGGCGGCTGGTCGTGGGTTTGCTCCCGGCCGGAGCCAAAGTTTTTGCACACTGTTTTTTGAATCCAGCAAGGGTTGTTATTCCATTTTTTTCATTCATTCAAACAGGCGCCTTATCTGGGCGGGTAGTTCAAATGTTTGACGCGGGAGATCAAATGGACGTGGAGACATGTTATCGATTTGCATTCATTAATCATGCCTTTATCCCCTGCAAAGGTAGTTTCCCTTCTTTACGCTCAATTCGGGTCACCCGAAGACAGCGTAGCTCACCAGCTCACATCCAGGCGCGCTTGTTACTCCTGGTGACTACTTGTTTGATCTCAAGATGGTGGACTGTTTCGTCAACGGTTGTGTAGAGGCGGCATCAATAAGATGCGCTACTTGTGAACAACATGTCTGCTTCTCACATTTTTTCTCACATATCAATGAAGTAGAAGACACAAATCCTGATAACAGCCCTTGCTGGATTCAAAAAACAGTGTGCAAAAACTTTGGCTCCGGCCGGGAGCAAACCCACGACCAGCCGCCTTTAGAGCGAGAGCTCTACCACTGCGCCGCCGCCACCCTGCCTCGTCAGCGCTTTAGCTGTCCTGATGAAATGGCGTCCGCTTCTTGCCAACTTTGAAGGCTCATAACTTTCAAAGAAAGTTCACGTAGCAGTTATAGTGTCCCTATTTGCAATCAGCGTTCAAGACTCTATCGATATACCCAGGTCATCTTTCAAAGTTCCATGGGAAGTCCAAAGCATTCCCTTGTAAGTATCCTACTATCCCTTCGTATAATGTCCTCAAGACAGCACTGGCTCACTCACATGGATGCCCCCCAAGGTGGCCGATGTTCTCAGACTGCAGCAAGTTAGCGCTTTATCTCAAAATTCATAGAATTTTGTGTTTTTGATGATGAGTTATATATAAGACGGACATTTTCATGGAGGGCATATGGTCACCAGGCGAAAAACAAATCTCATCCATAAGTGCTCATTCAATGGAAAACCATGCGATATCGACAGGTATCTCTGCCACGGCGATCTACCTTATACGACTGTTATCGATCAAATTTTACGTTACAGAAGTGAACTTAAAGGTTCTGGTGACGATGGTTGGAGGGCGGTGCGGTTTTGATGACGTCATTGAGCGTCATTGCTGGAAGAGCGTTCAGAGCGGTCCCACTACCACCACTATAAGGGGTCTATCCACTGATGGCGTTCATACGTCATCAAAATCGCACCGCCTTTCCGTGATCCGTGCCTCGAAAAGGGAGCAGGTTCCACAGAGGTGTCAGAAAGTCGTGTAAATTTGGCGGGCAGTTTTCATTTAAAAAGCGGAAAGAAACGAGGAGGCGTCCTATTCCGTGAGCGAGAGGAACGAGCTAAATACAATAAGAACTATTAAATTTGGCACTGAGAGAAGACGTTTGGGATAGGCACAATGGTTCGTGGTAACTAAGGACATACTGGAGCCTTTCCAGACTTCACCTTATTAGCCTCTTGTCAATTTTCGGACAAAATAGCACTTTAATTCAACCTCATCCCGTGCCTTTAAGTGACTCAAACGCTTGCTTTCCAAGAACCCCTCGAACTCCATCGAAGAGAGCGCGAACAAATCGCCGGTGAAGAATTTGAACAAGCTTCACGGATGTACCAATCGCTGAGCCATCTAAAAATTGACGACTTGTAGAAATACCTTTCGATTTTGATCTATGGTTCTCACAGCTTGTGTGTTTAGCCAGGTCTTACCTATTACAATGCACTTCGTAACGAATTCATCAAGTGGATTCCCCCCCCCCTCCTATGGAAATGGATAGGCCATGCACTCCTCTTGCAAATACGTATTTGGCCAGCACAATAATTGGCGAAGTATGCCCTGTGTTCTGGTTGGTCTGAGTTGTGGCACACCTTGCAACTCATGGAGAGTTCCTGGAGAAAGGTCGATCTGACAGGTTAAGGAGCGTTCATAGTTAGCGATTGTACGTGCGATCGGGCGATCAGGCAGTTACGCGGGAATACCACGTGCGGTTGACTCCGCCCATACGGCGTTGTAGGCGAGTAGGCTAACCTGCACCATCTCAACCTTACGGAGTTTTGCGTGGTTAAAAATTTGCCTTCCACCACCGTAACACAGGTAACGTGTTCTTCGGCGGGTCATAGGAGGTGATAAAAATTGATAATGGCTGATAATGGAGGTCAGAAAGGACGGGTCATGGAAGTAATAGCAAGTGTCCCATCAGCAGCGCTCCGTTACCTCTTAGTCATGACGTAGATCATGGGACCGGAATATTCAGTGGCTGTTGGAAGGTGATAATCACTGATAAAGGCTGATCAGAGCGCGACATTAGCTCGACAAAATACGCAGTTACCACATTTATTTCTCTGTTCATGTCAACAGTGGAGTGATCAATGCGGGCCATGAATCGAGTTTTTGATATGTTCTCTCAATATGAAATCACTTGATACTCGTTGAGAGCCGGCAATAAGGCCTAAGCCTAATTGAAGCTTTTGTAGAGACTTCGCCATTATTTCCGATCCAACATTTGGCAACTGTTTCACCTTCAATCATAATCGCTCAGACATCAAAAGCAGTCTGCGCGCAGGACCGATGCATGGTGAGTCTGACTTGCCCAGGCTAACTCGTCCATTGAATAACCAGTAAACACCTAGGTTTGCGTGTGATGCTGTTCGTGAACGCATCCGACTACCTGCCAACTTCTGAAGCCGTTGGTGTTCGTCTCACCATCCACGATAAGGACGAGTTTCCCTTTCCAGTGAGCAGAAGGCAGTCTTGGGTGTCGGTCAGGAGGTCCACATTGCGGCGAGTCGGTGCAAGTGGTGTTGAGGCGCAGTATTGCAGCGTGAGGTGCCATAGCCAGCCCAGCTCGCATCTGGCCCACTTCACAAGGGATAATGTTCTAGAGAGGGTACTTGAAAATTCTTCTGATTTTAAATTTCCTCCCTGCATATGTCACCCTAATTGTTTAGAGCTTCCAAGTAAAAAGCTATTACCCCTGATCGACCTTTGAAACGGCGTGAAATAAACGGTGTTGGAAAACTAACTAATTTATTTGGACGCGCCAGATACGACAACCAGAAGAAATCTGGGACCTGGCCCACAACGTGGAGCTCCTGACATACTGCCAGCAACCGATACATTCAATATTGCATAATGCTAAGAAAGAGCCGTTGACTTATCCCCTCACTGCAAAGTATGGGTCATGCATGTCAGTGGTGTGGGGGGGGACATGAGGTGGCAACCAGTTCAATAAAAGGAACGTGGTTCACACACCCCGAGGAATCCCTTTGCAGGCAAAAATTGACATTTCGGTAACCGACAAGCCAGTGTCCCCAACTGCCCGCTCCCCCCCCCCCCCACCAGAGTCAACCCTGCGTTGCGCAGTTCGCAACGGCACGTTGAGAGATCCTCAACGCACGCTGTATGGGCGGAGACGCAGACGGCTCGAGCATGCGAGTGTGAATGTTCGCGCGAGAGAACGTGTCTAATCGGGCGAAACTGCGCAACGTGGCCGTTGAAAACTGCGCAACGCAGGGTTGACTCTGCCCCACCCCCCCTCTTACTGGATGAGACCCCGAAAAGAAAATAATGCAACCCAACTCAGGACACGTTCGGCTACAGTGCACCCACCGGCTACATCTCATCTTTCGGAATGCGAATGGTAACGTCATTTCCATCCGAAATCTGCATATAAACTACTTAATTTGAACTATTCCAGAAAAAAATGTCCCGTCTCCCAGCGCCGTACGGGGACTGTATTGCGGACGGTGCGACATCGAATTACATCTACAAAGGCTATGCCTATTCCACAGAGGTGGGAAGAAAAGAAATAGATTGGTAGCAAATATTGGTGCTAATGTATTTGTTCTAGGGCTGTTATCGTACGTGCTTCCAACAGCTGATTATCGATCGATGCGGTTGCGGCGATCCGCGTTTTCCGTCTATCGGCGACCATAAACTCTGTGAGGTGTTCAACAAAGAGCACAGTACGTTTTCGGGTGCTTGTAAATGACCATTGGTCCGCTTTGCTGCATTCCCCCCCCCCTTTGACTGTACTACTGCTAAGTGCAGATATTAAGGTAGCCCTTTTAGGAGTATGTCTCGAGCAAAGCACGCAAGAACTTGGAGATATACACGGATCGTTCAAGTGCAGGTCGGAGAGTTTATGTTCATGCGAACTCAATCAAATATTTCCGAATATTCTGAAAATTTCTGAACAATCAGGTGTCAGCAACCATGCAACCAAACGATATACACCATGTCGTATTCGGAAGCGATATGGCCAAGTCAGTCGCTAAACATAACGCTTGGAACGTGCGAAGAAGAGCCGGAAGTGTGCAACGAACAGTACCAGTGAGTCCCTCCACAGACAAAGCTGCAGGCCCGACATGAGGCTCGTCGCGCGGCGAGAAGGCAGAGACGCAGACGAGTCAGCGGACGAGTCGCAGCGCGTGCTGTGCGATGTGGGACGTACTAGGTACATTCTATTTGAACTTGACGCGAACACTGCAGTACGCGCTGCGACTCGTCCGCTGACCCTCTGCGTCTCTGCATTCCTGCCGCGCAACAGACCGGCAGAGCTTACTCGACCCAGAAACTCGTACATATGAGATGACTGGCATAGAACAACTGTATGCCGAAACCCCGGTGGTTCATGCGTCATTCTCGCAACACAGACTATAGAATTCGAAAAAATGGGTTGTCAAAATGTACTGAATAATAAATAGGTAAATAGTCTGGACAATGAGTAGGGTCGAGTACACCTCAAAAAATACTCCTCGAAGCGAATGATCTAGCAACTCTGTTATGAACTTCCTTTGACGCTATTAAGCCGTCCATTCGATGTGGTAAAAAGCGTGTTTCCAGGGAAAACGCCGCTATGTTGGAGGTGTTTTATGAGGCACTCAACTTCGAAACCCTCACTGAATCCGAAGCTTACGGGGTGAGTCGACTTTCTTTTGAACGGTCCTCATAGCCTCAAACTTGGTCCACGGAATTTTCAAATAACTTCATTCCTGAGCAAGGGTTTCTCTCAGAGCAGATTCGCAACGGCTGAGAGGCTTCCAAGCCGTTTGTGGGAAGGTTAAGGACACAGAGATAAATACATATACGATTGGCCTACCCCTTTGAGTCAGTGTGTGCCATTCAATACTGTGTCGAAGACGAATACGTGGCGCATACCAGTGGCGCGGAAGGGCCAGGAGGATTTCTCAACCTTTCCTGCGTTGTGATCCCCTTCTACTCTTGTCAATTCTGTTTATACTGCCACCTTGCAGGTCGTGAAAATGCTGGCCGATTTTGGAGGACAACTTGGTCTGTGGTCAGGTGTCTCCTTCATGACAATCTGCGAATTTGTCTGCCTTTTCTGTGAACTGCTCTACATGATGATCTCACATCATTACAACAAATACAAGCTGAAAAAACGCGAAAAGGGACGATTTCTAAGCGAGCGGACACGTACATTTATTGAGTGAACTGATCATTTACCACGTACATTTGTTTAGTTATAAAATCTGAATAATAGAGCCTGAGTCTAGACCATGGCAGCCTCACTCAGAGCTGAAACGTTTTGCTTTATCCCCACCCTGGTGTGGCTAGGGTGTTCTTACAGCTCCGTATCGTTTGTGACTCCGACGAAGGCGATTTTGCGAAACGTCAGTCAATAAAATTCCTGTGCCAATCTCGCAGGCTAACAAGGGAGGTTTTCAGGTCAAGCCACGCTTTTCCAAAACGGATTCTTGCATATTGTAGGGATGCATGTAGGGAACACAAAACTATGTTTGGGCGCGCGTTGCTTGCGGAACAGATTGAGTTTAACCGGGGTGGGAGCCATTGGAGATTGGAGGATTTTCCCAGCACTTCCACGCCTTATCCGGTCCAAACACAATAAGGTTCGCTCCCGCTCGAGAGGCGCCACATTCGTTCTATGAGTCACTGGGCCCTAATGACCTCTTGCCGTTCCATCTTTCCTGTTCTAACTGTCCAATTAGTCGCGATTTTGGTCTTAGAACACCACAAATGGAAATATTGAAGTTCATTTTGCAACAGCTCAAGTCATTCTCAACGTAACAACCACAAATTACAGCAATGGGCTTCGAGCCGTCATTATCCAATAGCTCGCCACTGTATGGCAGTTTTGCTAATTTGGATAATACAAAAGTGCAATGAATCGGCCTACCTAGACTGCATCGCACCACGCAACAACGAGCTATTTTCCCAACAACTGCTTCGACATATTTTTAATCATAACGTTACTCTCACATAATCAAGTATATTCCAGGAAAGGATTCAAACCTAAGAATTCTTCATTCGAACATGACATCACAACCTTTCAATTCCATCAGTAGAGCTGCGATAACATTAACACAATGTACATAAACCATTACTCACATAACGGTAATACTGCCAAATACTAGTAAATCATGGAAATGAAAGTATGGCGACAACACCAACGAATCACAGTCCCACAGCGGTCCACAATCTGTTCATTATACCGTCGTGTTTTATGGGCTGAGCCTCCTGAACATTGAGTATCGTGCACACAAGTGCGAACAATAATAAAGGGAAAAACCAAAAAGTAATAAAGCTAGTAAGTGATCCTGACTAGTCAAAAACACGGTAAAGTGACAAAATGCTGAAATTGCTACCCTGAGCTACTCTGAGCAAAGAATCAACGGACCTTATTGTCTTGGCGGCTTTCATAGGAAATTGTGAGCGATCGCATGCCGGCTCTGGATGCCATCGACAAGCGAGCGCCCACTCGCGCAAAATTGCACAGGCTGGACGGTAACCAGATTCTATTAGGTCGGTCCATAATTTTTGAGAACCTTTGGTGTTTTTCGACTTAATTACTTATCTTATTTCTCTGATGTATTTATTCAGCACAGTATACATCACCATTATTACCAACATATAACCAATGCGAGGGTGGGTATTCAGTGTCCCTCTTGTAGAATTTCATAGAGTTCTGATCGAAGAAATATTGGATGTCGATTTTGACTTTATGGTGATTCAAGTGAGATTTCTTCTCCAGAAGGTGATTGAGAGAGGAGAGCGGATAGTCGTTCGTTGACGCAGGATTAGTGCTACAAGGCGGAGCTAAAAGAACTGACCGCCCGAGAGTCTCCAATTTTTTAGGAATTTTCTTAGCAAGGCGGGCTCGAACGACCTCAGAAAAAATAGATTTTGTCTTCCTTTGCTTTCAAGTTGAAGGCGTTGCCATCAAGCTGTCAACGATTCTTCCCATCACTGACACTGGTATTAGTTGATGCCGGTCTTCAGCGCAAAGGCCCTCCCGTATTGCGCCAACGACTCAGGAAGTTCGAATTCAGAGGGAGTTGGGTTTGTTACTGTCAGAACTCCCGAATCGTTTGAGCAAATCTACTGCGGCTCGTGGATTTGTTAGCACATTGCACCCAGTCCACATCACCAATGAGTATTATAGATGGTCATCCGAAGGAACTATAGGAAACCAACAGGAACTTGATGATGTCAGATTGGGTTGAGAACTGATTCGGGACTACAATTTTCCTTCGATCAGAACTCTATGAAAGTCCACAAGAGAGGCACTGAATACCCACCCTCGCATTGGCGATATGTTGTTAATAATAATGATGTATACTATGCTGGATAAGTAGATCAGAGAAATAAGATAAGTAATAAATCGAAAAACACCAAAGGTTCTCAAAAATTGTGGACCGACCTAATACAATAATGACAAGAAAAACTTGAAATCCGCTATCACCTCAAAGATTCGTTGAGCGAGTCTTGGTTTTCTTTACTGGGTGTAATTGAGGGAATCTCATCTGGCGCTTCTTCGCTTATTGATTGGTCAACCACGGATGATCTATTGAAAAGTGGTGAGGTTATCTGCGACGCATCCGCCCCAACGATCTCCTGAAAATTGAAAACTCTCGAACATAAACTGAAAAACCTGGCAAGGTTGCTTGTACCTTATCTGTGCAAGGAATGACACCGACACGTAATGAAGAATCAATAAGCGATGCATTTCGTGAAAGAGCTTGTCGTGCATGTATTGGGCACGAATAGCGAATGTGCATCCAATTTCCTCGACTGGGAACCTTAATGAACAGACATTAAACAGTGGAACAGAGCTGAATATTCAAATCTGCAGTGATTAAAATATGCCAAAATTCTTGAGATATCCGGAAAAGTCAACTTTGAATCTAAACAGAAGGAAATCTGAGTTTACCTGGTGGCTAACGATCTCGCCATGACGAGAGAAATGCTTGAGGACGTTGGCTGCTTGTTCAGGTGGAAAGCCATAGACCGTAACCCAAGTCTCAGCAGGCGACTGTGCCTGCTCCGGTGCTGAACGTGAAGCCGCTGCTGAGGTGAAAAGACGAATCCGTCACAGGGATACTCATCGACCGACGCGACACCTTTCGCACAGGCTCTATATCATCCCTCAACGATCGTAGAGGAGGTGCTGGAAATTTGAAAACTAAATGCGCAAGGGGAAAACCTATTTCGCAAACTTTACCTGGACTGAGATTAGATGAGGTGGTAAACTGTCCAGACGACTGGGATGGCAAGGTTTTGAGTGTGGAACGGGATGTGTCGTAAGGATGTGCTCGTTCTTGTACCAGCGCAGGTGACCAGTGCACTGACTTTCCGCTATTTCCAGCAGATTCTCCTTCAACCATACACCTTTTAAAGCAGATCAAATTTCGAAAAAAAAAAGAATTACCTCTCAACTGACTTGGTGCCGGGGAGGCGAAAATGTCGTTCGACGGTGCATTCTGACCAGAGTACGGGTTATTCAGGTCTGCAACGCAAACATCTCATAATCGAATAAGTGTAACATAAAAGCGAAATCAAAGGCTCTGGGCTGAAAATACAGAACTGACATGATGGAGTCGCAGGCGCCGCGGATCGCCTCTTCTGGCCGAACAGAAACGATGGAGTCTTGGCAGGCGAATCTGATAGATTATCACCAGAAAACCTTAACAACAGACACCCTTTGATAGTAACCACAAGAGACATATTCTTGCATCAATTTTAAGAGCCATTTGGCGCAATGTGGTTCCGGAGGGGGCAGCCCGAAAAATTGCATTAATTCACAGAAACACTCAGTTTTAGGACCAAGCCTTAGAGGAGAAGAGGGAA